GGACGACGGAGGCGGAGGATGGAGGAGGGAAGGGAAGAAGACCGCCGTTGACGAGCGCCTCGACTGCATAGCAGGCCCTCTGGTCATCCTGATTGATCTGCACCGCGATCCAAACAGGGAGGAGCAGAGGAGAGGGAGGCGGAAGGAAGAGGGTACGGCCGCAAGCTCTGGCCGAATGTCCTGGTGCCTTGAGGGGTACCCATAATGTATCGTAGGGAGCGGATTGGGCTGCTGCAGGGCGCCGTAAAGATTACAGGAAGGCACCCATAAAAATCCGCACAGATCTGATCGGCTCTCATAGGGTGCATTTCGGATCCCACCGGGGTCCCCAAAAATCACGCGACGATCCTTAAGGACTCCCACAGGACTCCTATAAAGTCCCGTCAGCATCCTACGGGGCTTCTATGGGTTTCCGAATTGGACCTACAAGGCCTCCATGGGGTTCCGTAGGGGCGCCAGTTCAGCCCCAGAGGGTTCCACAGGGATCTTGCAGGCAACCCCAGCAACCGAAGCCCCACCCCCCTGGGGGAGGCAGCCCCCGCCCAGGGGGGCCTCTGGGGTTGCTGGGGTTGCTAGTTGCTGTGGCGGGAACGGGGTGCCAGGTCGCGTCTCAAACAACAGCAGCAACAACAACAGCAGCAGCAACAACAACAACAGCAGCAGCAACAACAGCAGCAACACCACCACCAACAACAACAACAGCAGCAGCAGCACTAGCAGCAGTAACAGCACCACCACCACCACCACCACCAACAACAAAAACAACAACAACAACAACAACAACCACAACAACAATCATGTTAATACTGTTCGCTCTAATCTGCTCGCGTGCCATCCAACACGTATATCCCAAAAACTAAATCCGCCGACCCTGTCGGCGTGTGGAAGACGCATCCCGGTGTCGTCGTCTTGCGTGGACCACCGTCGTCGTCGTCGTCGTCGTCGTCGTCGTCTCCGTCGTGTCCTCGTCGTCTCCGTCTCCGTTGACCCTCGTCGTCTTCGTCGTTCCCCGTCTCCTTGAGCGCGCGAGCCAAAGCGACATTGAGCAACGTCGTAGTTGAGTCGTGGCGAAGCCCCTCCCTACCCTCCCCGCCGGGGGGGGGGGGGGGTCGCCGGGGGGGGGTCGCCACCCAGATACGCATCCTCCCCGGGGGGTCCCGGAGCTCAGAAAAGCTTCAAGACGAGCCAAGAGCGACAGAAGACACCCCCAAAAGGGTACAAGAGGGCCTCGACTCGACGAACGATGGCCCCAAGACGCCCAAGACGGCCCGAAGACGGCCCAAGAGGCCCTCAAGACGCTCCAAGAGAGCCCCAAGAGCACACCCAAGAGGGCCCCAGGCGCCAAAATCGTCAATTTTACATCGGTTTTTGAATGATTTTGGCCTTCTCGCCTTTTCGGCTTTCCGACACTCCAAGACGGCCCAAGAGGCCCCCAAGAGGCCCCCAAGAGCGCCCCAAGAGGCCTACAAGAGGGCCCCAAGACGGCCCAAGAAGGCCCCAGGACAGCCTAAGAGGCGCCCAAGACGGCCCAATAGGGCCCCAAGACGGGCCCAAGAAACGGCCAAGAGGGGGACGAGGAACCGAGAATTCGAGACTTCCGCCCTAAGAGGCCCCCGGGAAGCCCCAAGAGGCCCCCAAAAGGCCCCAAGAAGCCCCCGAGCGGCGCCAAGACGCCCCCAAGATGCGCCGAAGACGGCCTCCGGAAGCCCCAAGAGGCCCAAAAGAGGCCCCAAGAGGCCCCACAACGGCCCCCAAGAGGCTTCAAGTTGCCTTCCAGACGCCCCCGAGAGGTCAACCACGAGATCCCAACCAACATCCATAAGGCCTCCTCCTCCTCCCCCTTCACCCTTCCTCCTCCTACTCCCTTCCGCCTCCTCCTCCTCCTCCTCCTCCTCCTGCCCCCCCCTCGTGTTGTCTTTCGTCATCTTCAGGGTCGGCGGCAACGGCCGTAAGGCCTTCGCAATACCAACCCTCTTCGTCTTCGATCGTATCCCCTTGATGATATATCTTTCTTACCTGCAGCGTGTATGTCGTGTAGTACATAAGGCAGGGGAAGAGAGGACGGATGGAAGGAAGGGACAAGGGGGAGAGAGGAGGATGGAACACGAGAGAGATAGAGAGAGAGAGAGAGAGACAGAGCAGCAGGAGGGGGGCTAGGAGCAGAAAACATATGGCCGAACCACAAAGGGGCTCATGCAGGGGCCACGAAGGTCAGCGATGGGGCCACTGAGGGCACGAGCGACTGGGGGCCACGAAGGGCGAATAGATGGGCCACCAAGGGCAGCGAGGGGGCCACTGATGGCAGCGGGGGGGAGACACACGGGGCTACACTGGGGCCACGAAGGGCAGCAATGAGGCCACTGAGGGCACGAGCGACTGGGGGCCACGAAGGGCGTATACATATATATATATATATATATATGTATGGACCACAAAGGGCAGCGAGGGGGCCACTGAGGGCAGCAGCGGGGCCACGAAGGGCAGCACTGAGGCCACTGAGGGCACGAGCGACTGGGGGCCACGAATGGCGTAAGAAGTGCCCGAGCGAGTATGGGGCACGAAGGGCATGACCCTGACGGGCGTGCCGAGAGGACGGATCGACCGTGAGTTCTGCGTGATTAGCTAAGAAATTTCCAGCGAGAGAGCGGTTCCTAGGAAAATTTGAAGTCCCCAGCGAACGCGCGATTCCTGAATGGCAAGAGCGCGGCTCCTGAATAAATTGTGAGGAAGTCTAAGGCGGGAGCGCGATTCCTGAGCAAATTGCAAGGAAATCTCACGCGGGAGCGGGGGACCGGAGTACATTTCGAGGAAATATCAAGCGGGAGCCGTTGTAGCTGTAAACCGGGGGCCGGGGGCACAACTTGAGGAGGAAGACTTTCCCTGATAAAAAACAGGGTGCGAGCGCCGGAAAGGGCACTTCAATGAAAAAATGCAATGTGCACGGGAGGGAGGGGGGGGGTCAACAAATTCGTTTCTTAACGTTGTTTCTTCTGTGATAAATGTTCAACAAAAAACAACCACAACTATAGCAACAACAGCAACAGCAACAACAACACCACCACCAAATACAACAACAATGAGCACAACACCACCAACACCAACACCAAAACCACCAGCAACACTAACAGCGGGCACTAACAACACAAACAACAACAGCAACAACAACACCAACAACAACAGCAACAACAACAGCAGCAACGTCATCAACAGCAGCAACAACACCAACAACACCAGCACTACCAACACCACCAACAATATAAGCATCGACAACAACACCAACACCAACGACAACACCAACAATATGTTTAAGACTGTTCGCTCCCATCTGCTTGTGTGCCAATGAACGCGTCTATCCCAAACCCTCGGCAACCGCCCTCTTCGTCTTCGATCGTGCCCCCTTTTTGGGGTACACCTTCCTCACTGCCACGTGTATTTAGCGCAGCTCCTAAAACAGGGAGTAGAGGACGGATGGGAGGGGGGGAAAAAGGATGGAGCACGAGAGAGAGTAGCAGGAGGGCGGCTGGGAGCAGAAAGCACGTGACAGAACCAGACGGGCAGATCGGGCGGGAAGACCCTACCGGGCGGGTCGGGACGGCGGGCCCAGGCAGCCAGGTCAAGCAAGCGCGCTGCTGAAGCGCGACTTCTGCATGAGCCGCGAGGAGATCTCGAGCGATAGCGCGACGATCGTGTTCATGGCGAGAGGGCAACAACGAGTGCGTGATTCCTGAGGTGTCGAGGGCGAGGCGCCCGAATGAATTGCGATGAGGTCCCACGCGAGAGCGCGATTCCTGCGTACATTGTGAGGAAGTCCCGCGCGAGACCGCGATGTTGGAGTAAGCTGTGAAGAAATGGCAAATGGGAGCCGCTGTTGTTGTCAACGGGTTGCGAGGGGCACCGTCTGAGCCCCGGGACCTCCCCTTCTAGAGAACAGAGTGCGAGCCCCAGGAGGAGCACTTCGAATCAAACAACAGTGGGAACCGGGGAGAGATCAACCATCACAGTTTTCTCAGAATTGAGACTTCACAAACAACATCAATCAGAACAATCACTTTAAGACTGCTCGCTGATTGTTGGGCACGTGCGATTCGACGTGTATACCCTAAGCCCTCGATACACGTCATCTTCATCTTCGATCGCATCCCCGTTGGGGAGATATCTATACATATATATATATAAATATGTATATATATATATATATATATCGATGTCTTGTCTGTCACATGTACTTGGCGTGGCCCCGAACACAGGAGGCGGAAACAAGACAAGAGAGAGCGAGAGAAAGAGGCGGAAGCCCAAACGGAGGGGCACGAGGACGGGAGGAGGATTGAGGGCAAACGAAATTTGGCAGGAAGGCGAAGAGTGGAACTATTATTGTGGCATGGGGTCGGGTGGGCGGACCCTAACGGGCGGGTCGGGCGGGCGAGGAATTAAAGCGGCGGGCGGGCTTCGAAACACGCGAGCAGGCGGGACTGACGGGCGGGTCGGGCTGGCCTGCCCTAACGGGCGGGTCGGGCGGACCCTAACAGGCTGCTCGGGCGAGGCATTAAAGCGGGCGGGCGGGCTTCCAAGACGAGGAACGAACGGACCCTTACAGGTGGGATGGGCGGGCGGGCCCTAACGGGCTGGTCGGGCGGGAGGCCCTGACTCGCGGACCAGGCGGGCGGGGCCTTAAGCGAAATTCGCAAATTGTGAATACACGTCAGGCGAGAGTACAAGTCCTGAGTAAAGTGTGAGGCAGGCTAGTGGGAGAGCGCGATGGTAAATGCATTGCGAGGAAGTGTGAGGCGAGAGTCGCTGATGTTGCAAACCGAGGGCCAACAAGCCAATTCGATTAGTATCATTTTTCATGAAAAAAAGCGGGTGCGAGCCTCCAGGAAGGGCACTTCAATCGAAGAAACAAAATGGGCGCTGGAGGTGTATCAACAACACTGAGTCTTCAAACATGGACTTCAACATCATATCATCACGAACAGAACGGGTCCTGGCCGCGGAAGATGACGTCATAGGAATTCGAATACTCCGGCTGGTCCCTGCACGGCATCGTGTAGAAAGGCCTCACAGAAGAAGGATCCGCCACCGTGCCTGCAGCAAGTAGTGGAGTGCCAATGCCCATACAACTGAAACGGTCGGAAGAAGTAGATATAGTCCTTTTCCTCTTCCTTCTCCTCCTCCTCCTCATACTCCTTCGAAACAACATTTGCCGCTAATGCGTGCACTCTGGCTGATTACAAGGTTCTCAAGGCCATACCCGACACACACACAGACATCCCTGCTTGCCCTTAAGGGCATCAACGCTGCACTACGGTCATCCTCCTTCTCCTCCCCCTTCTCCCCCCACGGGGACCATTGAAATATGTGCGGAACGTTTCGCCGTTACAGCAACGCTGGCTTCAATCCCAAATCCCATCCGCATGTGTAAGAACAGGTGTTCATTCTCACCACGGCGACCAACCGTTCGAATGGAGTCGACCATCTACACCGAGCATAGACGTCAACACAAATATGCGTTCATCGCAATCTCGTCCCATAATTCAGGCAATAAGGCAGAATGGGCCGAAGGCTGTTTTAGATACCTGTCTAAGAAAAACAAGTCGGAGCCGTACTTCTCCAGGACCAGCCTGGCAAGCACGTGAGCAAGGTGCTGTGCAACGGGATCTGGGAACACGATTCGCCACAGCAAGCTGGCTGCGAATCAAACGCGCAATACATCATGGGTTGGGCGCTGTTGGGCCGACTACCGCTTCTTTACAAGGAAACATGCATCAACGTGTTTGCGTCTTGGCTAGTTGCCGTCAACTTGCAAAAAACGGGGGTCCAACTTGTACCGATGCATTCCCTACCAACATATAACTCTGATCTGCGGCAACAACTCCGAGGCCCCCTGGCCCCTCTCGAGCAACACCAGACGTGGAGACAAGGCGGACATACACACACTGACACAAACAACAAGCAGCGAGAAGAAGACAGGGGGAGAGAAGGAGGACGAAAAGGTGCGGATGGGAACTCCACAAGGTGTACTGTGAAATCCCGCGACAAACCGAGAAAAACAAACGCGTGGAAAAGACACAGTTGAGTGCTGGATGGCGCAAACACGCCGCTTCACGGAGACCGCAGCTGGCACGGCAATGGCTGCAATAAAATCGTCGCCCACAGGGGAAACGGAGGAGTGGCGGCAGAGTGGAGGATGTGGCATGCATGATCTTCAGACTCGCACGTGGCAAGTAGGGCAAAGGAAAACAACGAGAGAAGGGTAGGGAAAATTACGAATACAAAGAATAAGCGCGAATCGAATGTCTACAGAAATCCACGGGAATGGTTGAACGCCTTTCGGCTGGATTCGTTGTCGACCTGCAGGATGTCAAATACCATTGGTTTTCATCGTTGGCACACGCGCCGATTCGATCAGAACCACGCTATGTACAATATGTGCTGACAGTGTCAAGGATACCTCCTCTGTGAGAGATCCCTCAATGCACTGAACCGACTGGTTGCGTGATTCTGGTAACCGATGCAGCAAGCGCCAACGTCGATGGGTCACCCCGCTGCGTGCAACTGATGAACGTGTTAATGGAATCTCCCGCGCGAGAAGTGCATGCGCGCTACCCAGGCGAGGCTATTATGCTTAAAATTGCGCTTGCGGACACGGGCGACTACGTAGGGGTCGATGTTACCCTTCCTGAGCCAACACCCCCTTTCGCCGCCCCTGGCACAAAACTACAGAATCGTGACGCACTGCCGCGCTTATGGACCCAGACGAGATCCTTCAAAAATGCCTGGACCACGGCAAGATCGCCAAGCAAAAAGGGGAACACGTGTACGCCGCGCGCTTTCCGTCCCCACTAGACCGCCCATGCATCTGCGCGTAGTTACGGCCTTGCCTTGGGAAACGCATCCCGCAGGGCTGCGCGTGCCACGCAAAGCTTCTGCGACCCCACTCTCAGTAGCTTCAGTAACTCCTTCCGAACATCACCCGCCTCATGGTGTCGCCGTAGAAGCACTTGCAAGTGCAGCCTGGCCTTACGCATACCTGGGGGCAATTGTAGTTATACTTTTCCTCGTGCGGCATGCACAAGCTTTTGGCGCCCATCTTCAGGCCTCCAGCGACCTCAGCGTCCGCGGCCTCGGCCTTGCTCAGCTCTTTGATTTGCTCCTCGCACTCAGGGTCGCCACAGAAGGGAACGAGGCACAGCCTGCCCTTATTCAAATTCGGGCTCAACTCCTCCCACTTGTCGACATTGACCAGCCGCTCATCCCGTTCGGCAAGCGCCTTGTCGTACATCTCCCTGTGGATGGCATCCAGCGTGGCCCTCACGTCGTCCACCAGCGAGTCGTGCTTGCCGGTGATCTTCCCGGCCTTGGGGTCAGGCACATTCCGCTTAGACATAACGAACTCGCCCTTCTTCAGATCAAGAGGGCCCAGCTCGATGCGCAACGGAACACCCTTCATCTCCCAGTAGTTGAACTTCCAGCCTGGCGAGTTGTCGCGCTCGTCCACCTTCGAGCGCACGCCAGCGGCCTGCAATTTCTCGTGGTAGTCCGTGGTGGCGGCGCTGAGCGCCGCCCTCTCCTCGTCGGTGCTGCTGGCCTTCAGCCCCACGGGGATGATGATGACCTGTATGCCGGCAATGGGCGGCGCCAGCTGAAGGCCCTTGTCATCGCCGTGCACCATGATCATCACGCCCAATGTCCTCTGCGTGATCCCCCACGAGTTCTGGTACGCGTTCTCCCGGGCCTTCCCGGTGGGGTCGGACGGGTCCTGGAAGGAGATGTCGAACATCTTCGAGAAGCTCTGGCCGAGGTGGTGGGAGGTGGCGCCCTGGATGGCGCGTCCGGTGGCCGGGATGAACGCCTCCACGGTGGTGGTGTAGTCCGCCCCCGGGAAAGTCTCGGCCTTCGTCTTCGTCCCGCGGACCACCTGCACTGCCATCAGCTTCTCGTAGACGCCGGCGTAGAGCTCGAGGATCTCCAGCACCTCCTGGTCGGCGTCCTTCTTGTTCGCGTGCGCCGTGTGGCCCTCCTGCCACAGGAACTCGCGCGTGCGGAGAAAGGGGGTCGTCTGCTTCACCTCCTACCACCGCACCACACTGCACCACTGGTTCAGCTTGAGAGGCAGGTCGCGGTGTGACTGAACCCAGTTGGAGTAGGCGTCGTACATGGCAGTCTCGCTCGTGGGTCGAATAGCCACGGGCTCATCGAGATCCTCCAGCTCGTGTGGCTTGCCAAACTTCGCCACCCAGGCCAACTGCGGGGCGAAGTCGTCGAGGTGGGACTCCTCCTTCTCGATGTACTTCCTGGGGATGAACATCGGGAAGTAGCAGTTCTCCACGCCCTACTTCTTGATCTCACCGTCGAACCAACGCTGGACCTCCTCCCAGATGTTGTAGGCCCATGGCCGCAGGATGAAGCAGCCCTTCACTGGGTACTGCTCGATCAGCTCGGACTTCATGATCACTTGCTCGTACCAGCCTGGCACGTCGTCGGCCTCCTTGATGTCCATGCCTCCGCCCTTGGAAAGCTGCAGCGCGCTGGCATCCTCAGAGGAAGAAAATATTAGCCTGACGAAAGACCAAAACATATGCAGTTGCGAGTACCCTATTGTGGGTACCGGCTTCGGTGGAGCTCCCTATGGGGCCATGAAGCGCTGTCCTGGGTGGCGTTGACGCATGCGGCATGTGCCTCTGGAGCCTTCGGTGGAGTTCCATGGAGCCACGAAACGCTGTCCTGGGTGGCGTTGACGCATGCGGCCTGTGCCACCCTATAGGGCCACGAAACGCTGACATGGGTGGCGTTGACGCATGCGGCCTGTGCCGCTGGAGCCTTCGGTGGAGCTCCCTATAGGGCCACGAAACGCTGTCCTGGGCGGCGTTGACGCATGCGGCCTGTGCCACTGGAGCCGTCGGTGGAGTTCCCTGTGGGGCCACGAAACGCTGTCCTGGGTAGCGTTGACGCATGCGGCCTGTGCCTCTGGAGCCTTCGGAAGAGCTCCCTATGGCGCCTCGGAACGCTGTCCTGGGTGGCGTTGACGCATGCGGCCTGTGCCACTGCAGCCTCTGGTGGAGCCCCCTGTGGGGCCATGAAACGCTGTCCTGGTTGGCGTTGACGCATGCGGCATGTGCCACTGGCGCCTTCGGTGGAGCTCCCTCTGGGGCCACGAAACGCTGTCCTGGGTGGCGTTGACGCATGCGGCCTGTGCCACTGCAGCCTCTGGTGGAGCCCCCTGTGGGGCCACGAAACGTTGTCCTGGGTGGCGTTGGCGCATGCGGCCTGTGCCACTGGAGCCTTCCTTCGGTGGAGCTCCCTGTGGCGCCTCGGAACGCTGTCCTGGGTGGCGTTGACGCATGCGGCCTGTGCCGCTGGAGCCTTCGGTGGAGCCCCCTTGTGGGGCCACGAAACGCTGTCCTGGGTGGCGTTGACGCATGCGGCCTGTACCACTGGAGCCTTCGGTGGAGTTCCCTATGGGGCCACGAAGCGCCGACCTGGGTGGCGTTGGCGCATGCGGCCTGTGCCTCTGGAGCCTTCGGTGGAGCTCCCTATGAGGCCACGAAAAGCGGTCCTGGGTGGCGTTGGCGCGTGCGGCCTGTGCCACTGGAACCTTCGGTGGAGCTCCCTATGGGGCCACGAAATGCTGTCTTGGGTGGCGTTGCATGCGGCCTGTGCCAGTGGAGCCTTCGGTGGAGTTCCTTGTGGGGCCACGAAGCGCTGTCTTGGGTGGCGTTGGCGCATTAAGCCTTTGCTGCTGCAGCCTTCGGTGGAGCTCCCTGTGGCGCCTCGGAACGCTGTCCTGGGTGGCGTTGACGCATGCGGCCTGTGCCACTGGAACCTTCGATGGGGTCCCTACGGGGCCACGAAACGTTGTCCTGGGTGGCGTTGACGCATGCGGCCTGTGCCTCTGGAGCCTCCGTTGGAGCTCTTTATGGAGCCACGAAACGCTGTCCTGGGTGGCGTTGACGCATGCGGCCTGGCCTGTGCCTCTGGAGCCTTCGGTGGAGCTCCCTATGAGGCCACGAAATGCTGACCTGGGCTGCGTTGACGCATGCGGCCTGCGCCACTGGAGCCTTCGGTGGAGCTCCCTACGGGGCCACGAAACGCTTTACCAGGTGGGTGAAACGCAGGGAGGTGACGAGGCGGGCGGGAGGAGGGAGGAGGGGGAGGAGGAGGAGGGGGAGGGAAGGAGAGAAGGGGAGAGGAGTAACGCGGGGCGCTGTCTCTTGAAAACGAGGACCCCACACCACAGGATGGTGGGGAAAACCAAAACAGAACTTTGGGCGCTCTGCGCGGATTTCTTGGATCCGCGCTGGACCCCCCCTCCCTGGCGCGCGGAGCGCTGCGCCGGAGGCGCCGCCAGGGGGGCCCCCACGCAGATCCAAACCCGCGCGGAGCGCCAAAAGCTGTGTTTCTGGCGCTGTTCCTTACTCGAATCCTTCTTAGGCTTCGCCTCCTTCTTCGCCTCCTTCTTGGGGGCCTGCTTCTGGGGCGTCTCGGCGGCCGCCGCCGCCTTGGCCGCGGGCGCGGGCGCAGGCAGGGGCCGCGCCCCCGCCCGTGAGCTGCTGCAGCCCCTCCACGAGCCTCTTGACGTCTTCGTGCGCGTTGAGCCTCGTGCCCGACAGGCCCTCCGCCTTCAGCCTCTCCTTCAGGGAGCGGACCTGGTCGCCGACCTCCTCTCGGTGTTTTCAAAGGGTGGGGCCCTGACGGCTGGAGGCCCGAGGACAGGCAGGGATCCAAGTTGGTGGAGTTGCGTTGCCTGGGCGGCCTCGTCCTCAGGGCCCCATCCTCGGGAGCGGCCGAAAGGGGGGGGTCCAAGAGGGGGGGTGCAAATCATGACCGGCGGCATGTGCGCGGCCCAGCGGGGGGGCCAGGGACGTAAAGAAACAAGAAGAGGCGCCATGAAATCTGGGGAACTATCATGGCCCACGCCATGATATCCACCCCCCCCAGTCATCACCCCCCTCTTTTCCGACCCTGACATCCCCCAGGACCCCACCTTTGAGCCACCGATCCTGGATCCTCGCCTCCGTGGCGGGGTCCAGCCCAGCCGCGGGCGGCGGGGCGGCGGCGGCCTTGGCCTTCGGCTCCGCCCTCGCCCTGGGCTCCGCCCCGGCGGGGGCGGCCGGGGCAGGCGCGGAGGGCCCCGGCCTGCTCCGCTTCGCCGCGGCCTCGGCGATGAGCTGGAAGGGATCCCCCGGCCGCTTCTGGGCCAGCTCGCTCGTGGAGGTCGGCGAGGGACTCCTCGACGCCATGGGACTGCAGGTACGACAGCTCCTCCGGCTTCGGCGGCGCCCTCCTGGCGGGGAAGAGGCCCACGGGCACCAGGTGTGACAGGTCCATCGGCCGAGGGGCAACGTCAGGGGAGGACCAACTCGGGGTGGGAAACATCGAGCTGGAATCGGCGATACATCGCCGAACTCAGGGGGGGGGAACAGCGACCTGGAATCGGCGGTACGTCGCCGATAGACGATGGATCGGCGATAGGCCCTCGACAGCGAACCCGCACGTTCCTAGGCCTGGGCAGGGTGGGTTATCGGGCCCCTATCGGCGATCAGTGGGCGATTGGGGGTCGATGCATCCCCCCTGAACCCATTCCCGTCCACGGTGGTTTTCGGGCCATAAATCAAGCCTCCAGCGGCCGTTCGCGACGATCCAGGCACCCCCGGAACGCTCTCGGCGAGGCGCAGCCGCTTGAAGGCATTCCGAGGCTGGGAAGTCGCCGAGAGCCAACGAACGCGTTCGAATACCTCAAACCTCGACTCATGATGCTCCATCGTACTTAAGAGCCACATCAAAAAGACAAGTTCGAACAGGCAATAAGAGTATCGAAATAATCTCTCCCCGAAAAGCTGGCGAAGTGTCGAACGAGTATCGCCTCCAGGGCCCGACACGTGAAAACTTTCCCAGGGGTGTTGCCCTTCAGGGCTGAACAGTTTCGGTACTTCCTTGGTACTCGAAGTTCTCTGGCGGTCAAGACTAAAGTAGGTTGGGACATCATAAACCTCGACCCCCGTGTGCGGGCAAGACTTGTAACCATATCCACTGCAGCTTGGAGTGTCGAGCTCCCTTCCCCAGAAACCCGAGGCGCACTGGATACGGATGGAAACCTGGCTCCCGGAGCCTCCTCCGGTGCGCCTCGGCCTTGCGGCGCCCCCTCCAGGAAGATCCAAGACGCACTGGCTGTGGATATGTGTATATATATATATATGTTCATACATATTCATATATATATATATATATATATATATATATATATGCACATATTCACTCATATATATATATATATATATATATATTCGTATATATATATATAAATAAAAGCACTACCCGCACCCTGAGCCCACCCCCCCTGCCCCCCCCCGAACGCTGCCCCTGCCCGGCGCAGGCCGAGAGCGCCCGAGGCGGCCCGCTCCACGCCGCCGCGCCCTGGCGCGCCGAGGGGCGCGCGCCCGGAGCTGAGGGGCGGCGAGCGGCCCCCCACGGGGGGCCCCCAACACACGGGCGCCGGGCAGCGTCGGGACGGCCGGAGCCGAAACGGCTCGCGCGGGGGACGCTCTAACTCGGGCGCGAGGAGGAGGAGGAGGAGGGGGAGGGGGAGGAGGAGGAGGAGGAGGAGGAGGAGGAGGAGGAGGAGGAGGAGGAGGAGGAGGAGGAGGAGGAGGAGGAGGAGGAGGAGGGGGAGGAGGAACGGAGCAGGAGGAGGAGGAGGAGCAGGAGTTTCCCCCCGCATGGATTAGGAACCCGTGGATCTGGCACGCGGGCGCCAGGTCCGTGGACGAGAGGAGAGCACCCCCGGAGACATCAGGCCAATGCCGCCTCATGTGGCGACAGCGCGCGCCGACCTCGCATGGAAACCGGACCCGTCGCCAATCCACGCGCCCTGGTCTGTGTTAGCGCTCCCTCGACTCACTGGGGCCACGAGCGGGAGGAGCCAGGGGGGGTCCCCCTGGTGGTATGGTCCCCCCCTCTCGCTCGAGTCATCCCCCCATCCCCAGCTCGGGGAGGCGCGGTGGACCTCCTCGCTGGAGGTGCCCCCCCCTGGAAGTGGTGGGGGTGGTGGTGGTGGTGGTGGTGGTGGTGGTGGTGGTGGTGGTGGTGGTGGTGGTGGTGGTGGTGGTGGTGGTGGTGGTGGTGGTGGTGGCGGTGGTGGTGGTGGTGGTGGCGATCCCCGAGCAGACGGCACGCCGATCAGGTAGACCTTGGCTGGATCGGATCGCGATGTCGGGTCAAATTTGGAACGGATCGGAACGCCAGAGAATCGCACAGAGTCGGATCGAAATCGGATCGCCGTGGCAGGCTCAGGCTGGCCCTGGCCGATGCCAGTAAATCGAACCGAATCGAAACGAATCGGAATCGCGGCCCGATTGCCGAATCGAATCGAATCGAATCGAATATGGGCGGCCCTGTCAGGTCGACGGGCCCAATGGCCTCCAGCCTCTGGAGCTGGAGGCACTCTCAGCTCGCTGCTCTGCAAGAGCTAGGGAGGCCAAAGTCCTGAAATTGAGGGGTGGCGTCGATGGGGGGGCACCACACTCGGGGCGAGCGCCCAGCAAGAACCGGCACCTCGCAGCAAATCTCTTGCCGCTTGCCTCCTCCTCTTGGACCACCGGGGCCACGAGGAGGCCCCGGTGGCACGCGCTGCGACGCGGGCGCACGAGACGGTAACAAAAATACGGCTGGTCCCCAGACCTCTCCCGGGCTGCACTTCCTCCTCCTCATCCTTCTCCTCCTCCTCCTCCCCCTCACCCCCCTCCTCCTCCTCCTCCTCCTCCTCCTCCTCCTCCTCCTCCTCCTCCTTCTCCTGACCAGAAGTTCGAGGAGAACCCCGCCGTGGCGACGAGGGACCTCCCGCACGAGCAGCGGCACCAGCACAGCTCGAGCCCCTGACGACGGACCGCGACCATCCAGCGCGGCGCGGGGGGCACGACAGCTTGCCCCGCGGGCGCCGCGGAAACGCCCACGGCGTGGCGTGGCGCGGGCCTCGCAGAGTCGCCAGCCAGAGGACGAGGTTCGAGGCTCGAGGAGGAGGACGAAGAGGAGGAGGGGGAGGAGGAGGAGGAGGAGGAGGAGGAGGAGGAGGAGGAGGAGGAGGAGGAGGAGGAGAAGGACGAGCGGGAGGAGGGTCGAGGTTCGAGGAGGGGGAGAAACATCGAGGGGGGTCCAAGGCTCGAGGAGCCTCGAGGAGGGGGCCCTCGAGGAGGACCTGGATCCTGTGGGCCACGCCGTGGCGTGGGGGCGCACGCGTCCCAAGAGGGGGCACCTGCACCTGGCCGAGGGCCGCCTGGCCGCGAAGGCCCCTGGGGCAGTGGAGAGCGCTGGCCTCTGGAGAGCCAGGCCGGGCCGTCGACGACCGCCCCGGGAGCTCCGAAGTCGCGAAAAGCACGGCGAAGCCAGGACGAAGATAAACTCGGGTGAGGATCAGCCCCTTCTTGTTGGGGATGGCTGGAGGATGCAGCAAACTGCGCCACCGAGGACCCCCCCATACTTCATCATGCGTCTTGCGCGGTGGTACCCGACGTGGAACTTGCGAGCACGTTGCTCGTGGCCGTTGCTGCGTCGACGTCGAAGGCGGCGCGGTGCAAGCTTTGGGGGCCTGACACGCCGTGCCGGCAGAGACGCGCCAAAGGAAACCTGAGTTTTTCAAGCGTCGCACAGGAAACGCTTCGCACGCCGCCGCTTCAGCAGAGCACGTCTCCGGGGGCAAGCGCTGCTGCGGCCGCCCAGACAACGCGGCTCGGGGGCCTGCGCGCGAGGCGAAGCCTGACGATCGCTCGGACGTCCATTCCCTGTGCCTTTTTCGGTTTCGTGCGCGGCTTTTTCGCCAAAGGATCAAGGATGCTCCTCGATGGTCCTCGCCGAAGGAAGAACGCACACGTCCGAGCGATACCAAGAAGCCTGCCTACGGGAACTCTCGGGCTCGCACGCGCGCGACGTGGCGGGGAGGAGGGGCGGGCGCGTCCGGCACGAGGCCGCCGCAAACCCCAGCGAGGCGGCGGCAGGTGCCGCGCCCCAGTGCACTCTCGCCGCAGAATCTGTCAGCGAGATCGCGTACAGTCGGGGCGTTGACCTAAGGAACGATAAACGAGGGACGAGGCCCCTTTTTTCTATAAGTTAACCTTCGATTTCCCATCGAAAACACAAGGGAAACCTGAGGCAAGCTGCGAAACGACCAAGGAACACCGAGCCCCTCCCCAACGGAAAGGGTTCCTTCTTCAGCGCCCCGACTGTACTGTCATGGACTGATCGAACGCGGGCGTAGCGGTTTCTTTGCACCCACGCCGGTTCAGGTCTTCGCTCTGGATTCCCTGGTGATGCCCGGATCTCTTCGACCCGCACTTGCAGCAGGGTCTCCCACGTGCGCCTGCTGTCCAAGGCCTGGGCCGAGGTCTTCGGGTCGGGACTCGCAGGCCAATCGTGATCGGGTGACGCCGCTCTCTTCTCCGCCATCCACTTGTGCTTGGTACTCTTCTTGACGGCATTCACTCTATTTGTCCTTTCCGCATTAAAAGCTCGTCGCTTATGCGCTCAGCATGCTCGTGCACCTGCGGCATCGGAGGGCGCGATTGGCGTCTCTGAAGCTGGGTCGCGGGGCCCCCAAGGAAGACGGTGGCGGCAGTGCCGCGATGGCGCATTTGGGCGCCATTGCTGAGGCAATTCACGCCCGTCGCGCCAGCGTGCAAAACATATTTTTCTCAAACTGCTTGAGCCGAGGTGTTCGCAATTCAGCGCGAGGGACGACCTACTGCGCACCCCCTGTGGCATGGAGAAAGTGCCACGCCTGCCACGCCACGCGACTCTGAGACGGATAGAGACCACGGTGAAGGACCACCCCCTGCACCCTCTACGATGTCGAGAAAGCGCCACGCCTGCCACGCCTTGCGACCTTGAGATGATGGCTCGTTTCACTTGCCCAGGAGGCTACGGATGATGGCTGCCTGCAGTTGCCATTTGAGCATCTCCTGCTGATGGTACACCTGGACACGCCGTTCAGTGTCAGCCCGCATGCGATCGCGATGGTCCTGTTGCTCCTTCCTCCAGGCTTCATGTCGAGCAAAATTCTGCCTGAGCCTGTTGATCTCATTATCGGCAATCTCCCGGGCTCTCAACTCGAAGTGTGAGACCTGCTCTTGGTTCCCTGCTTACGTGCAATTCCACCCTCATCTCGGCGCACCCCTCACACGGCTCGTGGCCCCATAGGGAGCTCCACAGAAGGCCCCAGCGGCAGGGTTCGTACGCAGTTCCACCCTTCTCATCGCACCCCTCACACGGCTCGTGGCAACACAGGGAGCTCCACCGAAGGCCCCAGTGGCAGGGTTCGCGTGCAGTTCCACCCTCATCGCGGCGCACCCCTCACACGGCTCGTGGCCCCATAGGGAGCTCATCCGAAGGCCCCAGTGGCAGGGTTCGCGTGCAGTTCCACCCTCGTTTCGTCGCACCCCTCACACGGCTCGTGGCCCCATAGGGAGCTCATCCGAAGGCCCCAGTAGCAGGGTTCGCGTGCAGTTCCACCCTCGTTTCGTCGCAACCCTCACACGGTTCGTGGCCCCAAAGGGAGCTCCACCGAAGACGATACTCACAACTGCGGCACCCACAATTGTATATGACCTTCGCCAGGCTAATGGTTCGGGTCTTCGCAATAATGATCCTGAGCAGCAATGACCTTTCGTGCGTTGCCAAGAGGGCGCCGTGTGCGGACGCCACCGTGCGCGCAAATCGCTGCGATCGCATCGCATTCTGCGCTCGCGGGGCCCCACCGGGCCTTGGGCGTCGCGGAATTTGGGGGGCGATCCATGGGGGGGGGGCAACGAGGGCTGCAGAAAAGAAACCCTGCAGGGCCCCTCAAGGGGCCATTTGGGGCCCCAGAAGGGGGTCCCTGAAGCCCGAGAAGCGTACACTTCCCACTTCCCCCCCCCATTCATGTTCATCGCCCCCCCATTGAGCGACGCCCGAGGGCCCGCACCAAAGGCCACTCCAACGGAGGAGGAGGAGGAGAAGGAGGAGGAGGAGGAGGAGGGGGGGGGAGGAGGAGGAGGAGGAGGAGGAGGAGGAGGAGGAGGAGGAGGAGGAGGAGGAGGAGGAGGAGGAGGAGGAGGAGGAGGAGGAGAGGAGGAGGAGGAGGAGGAGGAGGAGGAGGGGGAGGAGGAGGAGGAGGAGGAGGAGGAGGAGGAGGAGGAGGAGGAGGAGTCAGACGTCAGTCGTGCGCTTACCTAGAGCCCCGCCCGCGCTGGGCCCCGCTGCCTGCCGGCCGCGGGCCCTGGGCTCTTGTGAGCGGCCGCCCTGTGGGGCGGGCGGGCGGCGGCGCCTCCCGAGCGCCCGCTCCTCCTCCGTGCCGAGGTCGGCCATCGGGTCGCGCTCGAAGCCCGCCGCCGCCAGCATCTCCATGCCCTGTCGCGGAGGAGCGGGGGCGCCGGGGGGGGGAGGGGAAAGGGGGCGGGGGGGGGGGAGGGGGCAGAGATGGGGCAGGGCGACGAGGAGGATGGGGGGGAGGAGACAAGAGGCGGGGGGAAGAAGGCGAGCAGGGAGAGGGGGGGGAGGGGGGAGAACTTTGTGGACATCAGCGGGTGCTGGTCCACGAACGAGTGCGCATAATACATCATGTCCTTATGCATTGATATTATTCCTGTGCCTGTTCTTCTATACTCACTCCCTGCGCTATAAGACGAAGGATTTCCCAGGTTCTGAAACGAGGCATGGGAGAAGGATGTTGAAGAGTATCGTCGATCGGGAGATGAGACCTAAGCTTGAGGAGGGTGTCACAAGTACGAGAGAGACGGAGGAGCAAACAGCGCTGCCGAGCTGCATTGCTCCTCTGCTCGGGCATGTTATTCTTCGCTCGGACGTCGAGCCCTGAGCCAGACAGTACAACTATATAATTGGCGCGGGGATGGTGTTGCCACGCTCCCCGCGCTTCTGAAGCGGATTGGTGCCGACCGATTGCACCAAACACTACGCCTCAGGCCCTCAACCTAGTTACTACTGTGCACCGCCAGCGCCACTGCTCCATGCTATGCCATGCCATGCCTCACGCACCGCACAACACTGCAGAAACCATGATGCACTTGAGACGCGATGAATTCCTCACGTGCAGCCTGCGGCACCACAGGAAGCCACCCCTGCGCCCCTCGCTCGGAATCCTGGGGAGGCTCATCGGACGAGGAGCAAGCAGGAGGAGGGGGAGGAGGAGGAGGAGGAGGAGGAGGAGGAGGAGGAGGAGGAGGAGGAGGAGGAGGAGGTGGAGGAGGAGGAGGAGGAGGAGGAGGAGGAGTGGCCTCCAGGGGTCATCTGAACGGTCGCTCGCCGGCCGAGGCGGCCGACCCACCAGAGAGTCGACGAACTGTGATCGACGCAAGCCGTGGGAACCTCCATCCCCAGGACGCGGGCCGTGGCGGCCGACCGAACGGAGAATCGACGAATTGCGATCGAGGCAATCCCCACACGCTGAGAGAGAAGGGGGGAGGATGGACGGGGAGGGGGAGGCGAAGGGGAGTGTGCTTTCCCGTCTGGCCTTGACTTCCCCCCCTGCCCTCAGACACGTGGGGGGCGCGGACACCAGAAGCCCAATCCTGCACATCCGCTGCGTTGCCCATGCCTGGCTCTCTCGTGCGGACCCACACGACCTCTGGACAGAAACGTAGCGACACGGGTGGAACATGATCTTGACAGTACGGCATGCGGGGTGCACGCTGCGAGGTGCAGTCGGAGAACATCGGACGCCACAGGAACACAAACAACCGCAGGCGTGTGCCTCGCCGCAGGCACAGTGAAGGGGCCCCAGGACACACAAATGAATACACACAAATAAAAATATTCCCATATTTTCATAAATTTTCTGGGTTTCTGTCTTCCCCCCCACTTCCCATATTTTCCCATATTTTGATGAAAAATCGACGATTAATTGTGTCTGTGTGTTTTTTCCCCTCCTGAGCCACAGGAACACAGACAACCGCAGGCGTGCGCCTCGCCGCAGGCACGGACGGGCCATGGGAGGCCAGTGTGCCCACGGGCGAGTTCGGCCGCCGGGGCAGCGCGAGGCAAGACGAGGCCACGTGAGGCCTCGCGCAGCCTGGGGACGCCGAGCACCCACGGGCCGGCGAGGCACGCGGGGCCACAGGGAGCCAAGCGAGGCCACGCACGGCCAGAGGAGACCAGCCACCCGTGGGCCAGTAAAACGACGCGAAGATCGGGACAAAATCGGATCGGGATAACTCGAAATCTCTGAGAATCGGCGGGTTTGGAGGATGTATTGGGCGCCGCGGCCGCTCCAGAGCGTTCCGGAACGCTCTGAGAGCGCTGCGGAACGCTCTGGAGCGATTTATCCCGATCCTAGCCCTGTTTTAGCCAGTGTGCCGCCCAGGGCCATGGGAGGCCACAGGCGGTGGCCGCGGGTGGCCATGGAGGGTCGTAGGATGCCAAGCGTTCGTGGGCAAGTGGGCACCCCATGCCATATGACGCCCTAGGAAGCGAACAGGGACCATAGGTGGCCTCAGAAGGCCACGGGAAGCGAAGTACCCCCGGGGCCAGTGTGACAAATCATCCACGGCCACATGGTGCCGTTGATGCCCACAAGAGGCTAGAGAAGGCAATAGCAGGCTACAGGAGTAGGATGCCACGTGAAATAACTGGATGTTCCCCCCTCCCTTGCCCCCGTTCCCGTAGGGCCCAACATCTCCTTCGAAGGGGGAGTACCAAGGATCCCAGGAAGGGTGCCCGGGGGGCTCCCTGGCGCACCCTTGGACTTTCTGCGTGGATCTTTGAGATCGGCCTTGCGTGGCCTCAATAACGTTCCAAGAAGGTCCCAAATCGCCGAGCGATTGGCCCAAGACATCCAAGATGGCTCCAAGACGCCTTCGAGACCCCCCAAGGAAGGCCCGATGGCCGGACCCCGAAAAGGCATAAATGAATCGTTTCACTTCGGTATTTCAGAAATTCTAGGGTCATCGTCTTCTCGAACGTCTGGCGCTCCAAAGCGGCCGGCCGAAAGGCCCCGTACACCGCCCCAAGGCCTCTTGCGAGGAGTAGAAATGGGAATTGCCATCGTGTGGGGGGTGAAAGAACCTGCGAAAAACCCGAGCGGCTTCTGGCGACCGTGGCATTCTGAGAAACCTCGATTCGCCGACAGAATGGGCAAGGCGCATGCTCAGATTTCGCGTATGGGTTAACAATTTTCTAGTTCGCGCGCGGAGCGGACCATGAAGATCCACGGGCGAAATATACCAAGACAAATCCTTTGCAAACTCCAAGCGATGTTCTGTAATAGTTATTTGTTTGAGGTGGGCACGCGCACACCAATACGGACCAGAGGGATGCGAAATGGGCGGGCGGAGTAGGAGGAGCGATTCAATAATTATCCATGTCGACAGTTCCTGCTTGTTGGACAAGCAGCAGCAATATGAAAGGAAGAGTTGGAAGGAGGCGGAACAAGTTGGAAAAAACTGGAAGAAACACCGCGGGGTAGGATGACGGAACAGAAAGTAAGAGCAAGTACGAGGTACAAAAAAAAGGCATGATATATACAATGCAGGTTATGATAAAATAAGGCTGACGACCAAGAAGACTGAGATGTGTAACATACTATATATATACATACACATATATATATACACATATATATATATATATGTATGTGTGTGCAATTTCCCGGCATGCCCCGCGGCGAAAAGCCGCCCGTGAACAACGTGCCACTTGCGACACCGCGACCGCGCGATCGGCTGCGCTTTTGTGATGCAGCGATGAAAGCCAGGCTCGCCATCCGCGCGCGACGCCACCCCGGAGCCAACCATGGTGTAAACAATGCTTGCACTGAAGGGCTCGCATTGGCCGCGCGAGCAGACAGCGGTTGACTTCCGGCCGCAATCAGCCTCGTCCAAGGAAGGGCGGGCGCCGGGCGCAGACCCGGGAACGATCGTGCGTCATAAGGCCCCGCCGGCACGCGCAAGACCCAGAACATCGGGACCTTACATCTTACACCCGACCCTGCACCCTAAACTGCAAGCCGCGGGCTGTGCAAAATCCCGCAGCCCGCGGCGCCTGGCCGAGCGCTCAGCGAGCCTGCCCATACAGCGCGCGCGGCACCGACGAAGCGCGTAGCGCTGAGGAGGAATTCGCACGCCGCGCGTGTTCAGCTCCGCTGGTTCGTCTAGCTGCCAGTGGGTGCGCTGCGATCGGTGACATCCCTGGGGCTCTAAACCTATGAAAACACAGCATGCGGCGCCCTTTCGGCCGTCCGTGGGGCTGCAACCCTGGCGAAAACGCAGCACGCGGCGCCCTCGGGCCTTCCTCCAAGCGGTCCCAGGCGCCCCAAAAGCTCCTAGGCGCTCTCCGGCGCTCCCAAGCGCTGCCAGAACGCTCCCAGGCACTGTCCAGCGCTCCCAGGCGCTCCCACGCGCTTTCAAGTGTTCCCAGGCGCACCCAGGCCTCCCCAAGCGCTACCACGCGATCCCAAGCGATCTCCCGCGCATCCAAGCGCCCCCCTGCGCTCCCATGCGCTCCCAAGCGCTCCCAGGTGCTCCCAGGCGCCCCCAGCCGCTGCAAGCGCTCGCCATCGCTCCCAGGCGCTCGCAAGCGCCGCCCGGCGCTTTCAGGCGCTCAGAAGCGCCCCCAGGCGGCCCCCGGCGCCCCCAAGCGCTTTGCGGCGATCCTCAGCGCCCCCCCGCCGAGCAGGTGCAGCCGCAGCCATGCTCGCGCACCGTAGCGAGGGGGCGCCAGACTCACCTCCTCGCGCCCTCCCCAGGCGCGCGAAGTTCGCGCCCAAAGCGGCTGCGTGTGCAAGGGCAAGCGCGTCCGCGCACATGAACGATGACGCCCAGCGCCGATGGCGAATGTGACTGCCGCGCGCATCGCCGCCAGCCCCCGTTGACTTCCGCGCCGGCGGCAGCCCCGCGCGCAACTCAAAGCTGAAAGCCATGGCGGGCTTTGGCGGGCTCGCAACAGCATGTCCGCTCGCGCGCCGAACGCGACAGCCCCCCTTGATAGGGGTGTCCGGGGTAGAAGCCCTGAACCCTAAAAAAGGCTTCACAGTGGATGGCTGGGGCGGGAATGCAAGTTCGGAGCGCGCGCGGCCTGGGCAGCGATCCCCCCCGACACTCTTGGCGAGGGGGGGTCGTAGCCGCGCTGAGAAGGCATGTCCTCGCCGCGCGCGTGCAGCTCCGCTGGTTCGACTCATGAAAGATCCCTCAACCTCAGAGCCCAGCCAGTGGGTGAGCTGCGATCGGTGCCATCCCCTGTGGCTCCAGACGGGCGCGTCCAGGCGCTCCCAGGCGGCCCCGGGCGCCGGCGCCCCCCGGCGCTCCGAAGCGCTCCCAGGCGCCCCCCCGCGCCCCCAAGCGTTCCTAAGCGCTCCCACGCGCTCCCCGGCGCTCCCAAATGCTTCTGGGCGC